CAAAGAGAGTCTGAAGTCGAGTCGAACTAGGACCATAATATCCAAAACACTAGCCCGCATCCGTAAGGGTGGAAATGAGAAATGTAATAATCAAAATCTAGAAATTGTTGAGCAAAAAAGTACTTCCGTCCCTATCCAAATTCGACCCCTGAATTATGGTAAAACAATCATTGACCTTGAGATTGAGCGTCCCCTCAACTTCCCTCCCCACTTATCACCACCCCGTGATGGTTTTGCTATTTTGGATGTCATTCCTTTGGCACTTGCTCATGGACACCGCATATGGCCACCTATTCTAAACGATCACTTCATTGATGATCTCCCCGATGGAGAGGTGGTTCCATTGTATGCCTTCACTGTGAAAAGCATGCAAGACGGGGATCTAGACATTTCAACGCGTGTACAATGATTATGCGAAGAAATGTGATCGATTTGTCCATGATAGCGACGACGAAAGGTTTTTACATCGATATTATGGACACTCCCATGGGACTTAAATTGTCTAATGCCCAAGTATTGCATGTCATTAAGTGTGGTAAGCTTTATTTAAAATTACAAGTAAATTTTCATTAATATGAAATACCCTTTCGTTGTTTTATTATAAGTGCAAAAGTATGAATATGGTCATTTAATTTGGTAAGTAGGTATCATTTCATAATTGCTAGAGATATTATACTATATTGTACTTAATTCAGAAAGAAAATGGAGTTATTTATTCCAAAGTAATCTGTTGTGAAAAGAAATTTTTTGTTTTTTTTGTTTTTTTGTTCAAGCAACTCTTTCTCTCTCTCTATAATTCTCTAATTTTAATTTTGGTCTTTCTTTTATTCAAGGGAAGTACAAGAAATGGTGGCTTCTTGTTAGTATGATGCAAAAGACATAAACTTTACTTTTGAAGTGGTATTTCTAGCTAGATAAAGTAAGATAACAGAATGATTAATTAATATTAACAATGAAGCAAAATATTAATTTGAATATAATCTGTTAGCCTTTAAGTTTAAAAATTTTGAAAACAATAACGCCTAAAGGGAATAGCGGACCACTTTCCTTTTGTTGGGGCAAGAAGTCTAAGAAGTTAGTGGATTAAATAGGTTTTTTAGATTATCAATATTGTTATGCCAAGGAGGAGAATATTTGTGTACTACTTTTTATGTACCTAATATAATTCGTTCAAATGATTTACTAGTCATTACTTTTGTATTTTGACTTCTTATATAATATTGTTCTAAGATTATCATCTTTCAAGTTCTTATCATGACTAGGGAAATGAGCAGGTATGTTGTGTAACCAACTTTGAAAAATTATTAGGTATACTCTTCAATCCATTTTATTTTAGAAATCTTATTTGGTTAAAAAAAGTTCTTATAAACAATAATTAAACGAGAAGAGTAAAATGAGACAGAATAATAATTAATACTGTTAATTATTGATAAAAATTAAAGCGATCCAAGACACTCAAGGTGATCATCATGCAAATTCCATCAAGTAATATAAATCAAATGCATTGCATGCATGTAGAAATAATGTGGCCGTGATATTTTTTTCATTACAAAGTTGATCTTGTAGAAGTATTTGGCTACCTGGTCCACTGGCAATGGATATCCTAGTTGGAGGTTTGACTTTGAGCTGACTCATGAGAGGATTTTTTGTTTTTAGTACAATTTAAAATTGTTTTTAATTAAATTGTGATTAAGTTTGGGTATTTCCCAATGTTAAATTCTAAGTGAATGCCTCAATTTGGTTTATACTTAAACATATGGATTCCATTTTTAATTAATGTTGAGGACTAATTATTGTAATGTCTTGAATTATTAAATATGCAATTTTTATACATGAAGTTACTCATTTAGTTTAAATTTAACTCCAGAAGCAAGTTAGATGTTTTACATATTATTGTAACTCATTTGTTAAGATCAATAAATATACTTTTATTAATTTATTTTTTCTGGCTTATGTATCAATTGTTGTTACAATTTATAATATTTATTAACATATAGTATGTTCACACGCACTAATAAAAATATGTTTAAATTGTTTGAAAATCCAACGGAAATTATGGTTAGTGTCTTAATTTTGCGTTTCACTTCATAATGTAGTGAGATAGGTTTTTTAAATTTGTACTCACATGATTGTTACTTGTAGAAGGATGATTACAACCTGAAAACTAGGCTGAGGTAATTTTACTTAAGGGAGCACGTCTCAAGCCCATCGGTGTTGAAGATCAGTGTAGACATCAATGCGAGGTTCCGCGGGTTGTTCACTCTCTATAGTGAGTACTCGGGGCATATGGATACAAGTCGAATGTGGTTTACTCACGAGAACAAAATGCTGACTATGTATTCAACCGTTGCCCTAGCAAATCTCAGAAATGAGCAGGATGTGTATATTATGCCCTACCTCTGAACAATTCTAAGATGATTGGTCATTAGCTTAGTAATGCGCTACACGTTTTCCTTTCATGTGGTAGTGTGATCGGCATGGTTTGTTAGTTATATTTCTAGCTTATTAGTTAGTATTTGGATATGTCATGGAATTTAACTACGACTCAGTTTGTATTTACGGTTTTTAATTGCAACATGGACTCTCCTCTTGTTATGTTGGGTTTTTTAATTTGCAAGTATGAAATGTTTATTGTGGGACTATCTCATGTCTAATTTGTTTCTTATTATATTATAATATAATTAAATGTTTAAATGTTTCTATGATAAGTGTATTAAGAAATTTTAATATATATCATGTAAAATGTTAATAAGGAAATAGCTTACTGTAGAAGATTCTAGGCTACAATAAAGGTCCCTAAGTTATATTCTCAATAATATATCCTAACACAAAATAAATGCATTTAATTGTCATCCGCTAAACCTTTAACAATTTCGAAAAAACAACATCTAAAGAAACAGTACTTCTGGCTTAGTTTCAAAAGTTTTACTAAAAATAAATTATATAGTGTTATAACGTTGCAATTGTCAGGAAATTTGGAAAATATAGATAATTTTAAAAATATATATATCTCAAAATGTATATATGCATCTCAAAATTTATATATGTATCTCAAAATATAGATATCACTATTTTAAGTTGGCCCATAATACACCTGAAAATGAATACTTCCTCCTTCACCATGCATTTAATACAGCTGTAGTCGCCATCTTGATTTATTAAATGCGAAGCCACCTACATTCCTTGCGGCACCTGTTAATGTAAAAATCTTCTCAACAAAGTTATGGATGGCACTACATTTTAACTTCCATTAGAGTGGTAACATAAGAACTTCAATATTCCTATGCAAAATAAAGGCAGTCATTAAAGTGTTATTTTTTCTTATGTTAAAAAATAAATTTTGTTCTAAAAAAACAAAAGGATAAAAGATTAAATTGGAATTTGTATGAGATATAATTTTTGACTTACAAAATGCACCAAAATATTGCTAGAATATTTGATAATTTGCAATAGGATGATGTCATCACATCACCTACATTTGAATTACGCAAGTAAAGAGCTAGTATTAAAAATGAAAAAAATTCAACTAAAAAATACCCAAAAACAACTACATGGAGCATTTAAAAAAAGCGGAGAGTATTTAAAATAAATTTAATTCCTCCATGTTTTAAGAGTATATATCAGATAGAAGTAAATACTCTTCTTTTTCCCATCATATTAATATTGTCCTGCATTTTAACTTTTACCTTCTATTCACACGTAAAGATCTCACCTAAATCTCAAAGAAAAAAAATTTTAAATAAAAAACCACAAAAACATAATGAAAATTTGCAAAGTTTGTGGTAGAATTGGTCATAATGGGGGGTGCAAAGTGAATGTCTTGGACATGCAAACCTTCTTGGATAAAGAATGGGTGCGATTGCAAAAAACATTAGTAATGTAAAGATGGAGGATTTTCATGTAGACATGTTCACAAATAAGCTCATAGGGCTAAAACGAGCCAGCATTTACAAGACCTCCTGTTTAAATATGGTCAATTACAAGCGGTGTAGACCAGAAATGGTAATAAGACGCAAGAAACCATACCCACTTAGCAGTGACTCTAGCAGTAGTCCTGAGGGTCCAGATTCAAGTAATAGATCAAGAAGGAAAAGGAAAGTACGAGCTAATTGTAGTGTGAAAGTAGAGGGAGGGATAACTTGGGCAGATGGTGATTAAGGGCGATTCAGAAAAAAAGATTAAAATAACGGTACCCATTTTCATACGGAGATGTATTGGGATAGTTGAACCAATTGTTTGTACCAAAAGGAGTTCTTACATTGTTTTTTATATATATAATCAAATGTATTACTGATTGTGTTGTGTTTAATATTTAGCAAAATATTATACGTAGTATAAGTAAATAAATTCTACTTAATATTATGTTGTGTTAACTTAGTATATGTATTAGTGATTTTATGTTGTCTTACAATATGGGTTTGTAATCCATGCTATGGGGCCCAAGTCATTTTGGCCCATATTCACATAAAACTCGCCACTAATTATTAATATATGCTAATCTTCCTAAATTATTAATTATTAACGGATGGCATGCTTATTGTTTTTTTTTTTTTATATAGTCAAATGTATTACTGATTGTGTTGTGTTTAATATTTAGCAAAATATTATATAAGTAAATAAATTCTACTTAATATTGTGTTGTGTTCACTTAATATATGTATTAGTGATTTTATGTTATCTTACAATATGGGTTTGTAATCCATGCTATGGGGCCCAATTCATTCTGGCCCATATTCACATAAAACCCTCAAGTGTAGGACAACATACACTCTATAATATCCGGCCCAAACAATGCATAATATTTATGATTCTTACTGCCCCAATCCATGTAGTGAAGAGGTAAAAACAAATGCCTTGGATCATGGACCTTCGGCCCACATCCCATGGAGTGCACATGTCTCCAAGTTTTAATACAGATTTGGTTCGATAAAAGAGTAATTTGTAAACTAAAAAACGAATCAGTGATAATAATTACTTGGTAAATTCTTAAAGTCTAATTTTCATACCTGTAACAGATAAGTGTCATAACAACAAATAAGTCCAATTACAACAAATAAGTCTCATTACAACATCATCAAGAGTTAATGCATCTTGATTTTGATTTTATTTCAAACATGACCAAATTCGCACGATTTTGCTTTAACGTTTCCATTAAAATACCCCATCCACATTCACCGTCTTCTTTTCGTTGTTCCTATTACATTCAATGACTTTGTAGCAGCTTGCTTTTGGTTATCGGCCTTACGCTGGTCATTTTCCGCCTTCCTCTTCCTCTGTGAAAACAAAACAAAATAATAGTTGTTAGTAAGATTCCTATACTTCAATCCGTTGTTATTACGAATCAACTATTAATCATCCCCAAACAATGATAAATCTTTCGGTTCTTAACAGCTCCTTTATCGGCACAAGCTCATTTAACAACTTCACCTATAATTAACGAGGTAATGTAAGTACATCATTAAGGAATGGTAGTACTTTAATCAAACTATCAACAATCACATTCTTTCAAACTGTCAACTATTGTCATTGATTTACCTATTGCCCATTTCTAGTTGACGACCCCTGCAGAGAGGTTGTGAATGTGCATCCACTCACAATCCCTTCAATCGGGTTTTTGGTTGTTGGTCTTCCAGTTTTCTTATGTGTACCAGTTTGTTCCTTGTTCTTTGCTTTACCAGCTCGCCCAACATTAGCTTTCTCGCCTTTGACCCCTGAAGTATTCTTCCTTATCTTGCCTTGTATCATTTCAGCAAGAGTCTTATTTCTTGAACCCTTTGGACGCCCACGGGGTTTCTTAATTCTAACAGGATCTTTCACAGTGATAACTTGATCCTCCGTTTTAGTGTACTCTTCGGTGTATAGCCGCCCACGTGGTGATTTATTTCTTACAGGATCTTTCACAGTCACAACTTGATCCTCCAATTCAGTGTCATCTCTAGTATTTGGCATAGCCATGGTGTTCGGAGTGTCACTAGCATCCAATCCGGATACTTTCCCTTGCTCCGGACATGACATTGAAACACTCTCTGCTGCCTTCTTAAGCCTACATTGTTCCAATTCATTTCGTATGTGCTTCAAAGCATTACTTACCAATTCTACAGCTTCATCATTCACCAAATCAGCATCATCAAATAACTCTTCAAACTCACCCAACAACTTATTGTATTTTTTCATGACCTCATCTTCATCCGAGTTGTGGTAAGACACCTCAACTTCGGTGTGTTTCCTTTTAATATCCTTGCGCCATCGGTTCACCACGTATTTTTGAGGTATTTCGACAACATGATTCTTATAAAGTATTTGAATCATATGCTTGCACATTATCCCATGAGTTATGAATTTGCGGCATTCACATTCCACCTCATTAGTCTCGTTGTTGTAGGTAGCAATAAGATACCTTTCTATCCGTTAGGACTTCTTCACTTTTCCCTTCTGGTATACTCCATACACGGTCTTCGACTTCATACTCAATTATGTTTGCATCCAACATCTTCTTCTCCTTAGAATAGCAATGCATGATTCGAGTACATTCTGTTTGAACCTCTCGAAACTTAGTGTCTGTGTACAACCCTTGAAAAAACTTCTCCGCCGTGAAACCAGTGACTAGTCGTCTTACATATTTCGCACAATTTGCATCTGCAGCTGACTCATCACGAACTCGCTTCCTCATGGCCATCGCATACTTGGCAGGAAATTCAAATAGCTTTGTCTTCCGATTCACAAAACCATCGAAGAAACTAGTAATACTTTCCACCCGCTGAGTTTTCTTCATACCAGCCCAAAAGTAGTCTCTCATGAAAGCAGGAACCCACATGTGCCTTTCAGTGTATAGGCTTGAGAGCCAATCATTGTTTTCCAAGTCATATTCTCTAATAAGCAAAACCCACCTACTTTCAAACTCTTCCACATTCAAACTTTCATATACAACTGCCTTTAGAACCGGTTTAAAATCTTTGTACCTGAAATTCATTAAGATTAAAGATTTTTATAAAAAAGGGTTCATAACTTTTACTACCTAATATTACTAGACAGTCAACACTGTGTATAACATACCTTTCACATTTCCCTAGTTTCTCGGGAATTTTGCGCATAATGTGCCATATGCACCATAGATGACGCATCGAAGGCAACACCTCCTCTATGGTCCCTCTCATTGCAGCGGCTTGGTCAGTCAGAATTGCTACAGGGACCTTGTTATTCATACATGACAACCACTCCTGGAATATCCATCTAAATGTATCGATGTCCTCATGAGCAACCGATGCACATCCCAGTAGTATTGTTTGACCGTGTTGGTTTACTCCCACAAAATTAACAAATGGTAATTGATACTCATTTGTTATGTATGTAGCATCAAAGCAGACAACATCGCCAAATTCTTCATAAGCGGCCCTACTACGCCCATCAACCCATATGACATCCTTCAACCTACCCTCCCGGTCTAATCTTTTGGAATGATAAAAATTGTGACCCCTTGCTTCCATTTTATTTGTTTCAAATATTTCAACATGGCAACTGCATCACCTCCAGCGGTTTTCTTCCTTCTTGCCTTGTAAAACTCATGTTGTAAGTCTTTCACAGTATACTCAAGGTTTCCATTCGCTTGAGAAGCAAAGCACCCATGAATTTGTGTAACTGGCACACCTTGTTCATAAAAGTTAAGCAAGTTCTTACGAGCTCTAGAGTTAAATTTCCTCATCCTATACTCTTTCACTAACTTTGCTTTCCGTGGTGTTGGATCATGGGTATGTTCTAGCTGCACTTTCTTTATCTCCCACTCCCCGTCATGGTTAAGACTAGCATACAACTTAGCTTGACACGGACATTTTTTTGACTTTCTCTTGCGTTGCCTTAGGTCTTCAACACACCCAACATCACCAACTACCGAACCAGATACATCCATAGCCTTAGCTCTCTTCTTTGCTTCCCTCACCGCTCTCATATCTGGTCTGTCCCAGCATTCACACTTCCATGTGGTTGCAATATGGTCTCTAACTTCGCCTTTAGAATATACACCTTGTGCCCTTGTCACTCCAAATCCTTGTTGCTGAGCATATTCTTTGTAGTATGATTCCACATCTTGCCAACTCTTAAATATCATTCCAATCTTGGGAGGTTCAACAATATTCATTCCACTAACATTATTACTCCCCACTACTGTCTCTAATGTACCTATTGAGTTCAAGGGAGACATAAACTGCTCTGAGTTTTGTTTGATACACCCACCTTCACATATCATGCCTTCCACATCAAGTGCTTCGTTTTTTACCTCCGTACTATCAACATGCAATGACTCCAATCCTTTCATAGTATCAACATCCAATGACTCCGATCCTTCCCTATTATCAACATCTAAAGACTCTAATCCTTCCATACTATCAACATCCAAATATTGACAACCCTCCATATGTCCCTCCATTAATTACACCAACACATTTTTGCAATCAAAAGTAAAAGTGCACCTGCTTATATGTGTAGAACTATTAGTATTAATTTAACCTATTAATCTCAAACAATTAGTACAAACATTCACATCATTCTAAAATGTGTTACGTGATCTTCATATACACATTACCAATGCTCAGATTCGACTCCAACCCTAGTAAAATTATTAAGCTATGTTTGTGATCTCAAACAATTAATACAAACTATTAGTATTTTTGTGAATGATCAACTTATATTTAATACTAATTAATTATCATAAACTCTTTAACACAAATATTAAGATAAAAAAATTATAGGATAATTATTGAGAAAATCTAAAATTGCCAACTCATCATTCCATAACACAGATCTCTTATGCTAACCCAGTTACATAAATCAGTTTTATAAAAGGTCCTAATTATAAATATACAATATGATAATCAGATCTGATTCATGAGATGTCCATAAATCCTATATTTTGGACTCTATATTATCAAAATTAACAACAATGTTATCAATATCAACTACAGAAGCAGGATATGCCCAAAACGCTATAAACTCAAAATCTATTGCATCGATGGATGTGAATGTAAACACTAACCTCCCCGCTTCAAATTGCTCAGTGATTATATCCGCAGCATCGATGTTCTTCTCTAACATTGTACAAATACTTGAGAACAATACATATCAAATACCTCACTGGATCATTATCATATTTCCTCACTCAAACTTGTTAGGATTCAACTTTTTTTTGATTTAGCGATTTGCTTTCATCGGTCAAACACACATCTAATATGAATGTGCTACAAACTAAGAACTACCATCAATTAATGCTGCACTTATTACCCACCGTCAACGTTAAGAACGCCATACTTAACGATAGTTAACGACTTCAGTCCTACGTGTTCACTCCTACTGCTGACTCAACTACGATTTCCACGAATTGCTGATGTGTCGTTGAAGATTAACATATTAAAGCAATCAATAAGATCAACTGGGCGCGCCTCTAAAACAAAAATTTATATTTAAAAAAAAAATCATTTTTTGTTCAATAAAACTAGCATCAGATTATGTGTTTTTTTTTTTGTTCAATAAAAGTTAGCATCAGATTTAATCCAAGTACAAGGTGACCAGCTAAAAAATTCATGGACAAATTATTCAAAAAGAAGTGAACCTGTATTTAGTTCTCTCACTACTTTCCCTCTACACACTAATTACAAAACTATATTTCCAGAATGTCTATGTACATTACCGGAAATTCTATGATGGCCTTACCGAAAATTCTCCCGATCAACAAACTTTGCTAGAGCAACATCAGCCTTAGTACCATGATTATTATTTGTCCTCTTGGGTGGACTGAAAGGTGGCGCCGGTGTTCTGGGATGAAGCATTGCCGGCGACGTTTGGCGCTGGAGATGGGTTACGTTTCTTGAGAGAGGAGATGAGAGAGAAGATAGAAAAGGGGTTTATTTTCTGTTTAGATGGATTTGTTTAATACTCCCTCCATTTTTAAATAGTTGCTTCATTTCTATTTTTTACACTATTCATTTATTCTATTTTGACTAATATTTGTGATTTATACATAAGAAAAAATATAGTCTTATGTGCACTTATCGGAATCATCTCAATGAATAGATTATTAATTTTCAATTGTTAGAATTTATACTTATTGATAATTAAAGATATTAGTGATCAAAGATTAGCATTGACATGCGTGTCCAAGAGAAATGGAGCAAGTATTTAAAAACGAAGAGAGTATTTATTTGGGAAATTCTATTTGGTGAACTCCAACTTTTTGATTTTATAAGTGGTAAACATTTTAAAATTTTATTATCAATGGTAAACCTAAACTATTGATTACCAATGATAAGTGTTATTTCCTTAATTATAGTTAGTTTTTTATTTTTTTAATTATATAATTTTTTTATTTTTAAAAAAACCCCTCCCCCAACCCACTGCCAGACCCCTCCACCCTCCCTGTCAGAATTGGCCCCCCTCCCCTCCCACCACCGCTCCCCAACCCAGTCCCCCTCCACCCTCCCTGTCAGAATTGGCCCCCCTCCCCTCCCACCACCGCTCCCCAACCCAGTCCCCCTCCACCCTCCCTGTCAGAATTGGCCCCCCTCTCCTCCCGGCACCACTAAATTGCATGACTAACCCCCATCTCATCGACAAATGGCCGACCGTCTTCCCTATCCCTCGAAAATGGTCGACCAGCCACTCCTAACCCCAAAAACCATCCCTAACTGGCCCACTCCAACCCCAAAAACCACCCACTCTCCCTCAAAAATAACCTCCCATCAATCCACCACCGCAAAACCCAAAACCGTTTCCATGATACCACTCCTTCCCATCGGAATCGGTGCCCCCGACCCTCGCCCCAATTCGGCCCCTATCCCCTTCGCTTCACCGAAAACTGGCCCCTTCCTCGACGAGTCCCCTTCCCTTTTGTGCAGCCCGGAAACCTTGAACACCACCTAAACCACCTTAAAACCCAAACTCGATTTCTGGATTTGGTTTTAAAACCCTAAACAGATTTTGGTTTTTGGGTTGGGTTTAGGATTTTTGGGCTGGCAAACAGAGGATAGGGGTCGTCGGGGAAGGAGGCCGGTTTTCGGGGTGGTTAGTGCGGTCGGCGGTGGGTTAGTGAAGAAAGAAGGCGGGGCGGGGGAGGCTGTTGCCGGCAGGGGTTGGGGGAGGTCGACATTTCTAGGGGTGGGAGAGGACGGCGCACTAGTAAAGGAGGGTTGGTGCGTCGACGTGGGTGGGGGTCGGGGGAAGGAGAAGTGGAGGAATAGGTGATTTTAAAAAAAATAAAATTCTAACGATAAATGTAAAAAAAAAATAAAAAAAAAATAAAAAGTAACTAACTATAGTTAAATGTTTAGTTAAATTAATCATTAATGTTATAATTGATTTAAAATAAAAATAAAAAAAGGTTAAGTTTACCGTGATAATAAACGTTTACCACTTGAAAAATTAAAAAATTAGAGTTCACCAAAGTGAATTTCCCTATTTACTTTAATTGATAATTTATTGGTCCGTCCATTATCGATCCAAGGACCTACGACTTGCATTGGCCTGACCTGCTATTGACCAAATAAAATGTGACCCATTTTGACCCGACCCGCAATTAAAGCATCTATTTACAACAATATACAGATAACATAATGACATGTTGTTTTATAGGAAATTTATCAAAAAAAATTTGTTAACTTAGTGGATAATAGGCAGCCGGGTAATGGATATCCACATAGGTGGTGGATCAGTGTGGGTGTTAAAAGCTTACCTATATCGCGGGTGCTAGAAAGTCATAGGGTATAAAAAAACTTTGGTAGATGCGGATACAACGGAGGGGGTACCCGCACCACCCAATTGTCATCCCTACTTTTGTGTAAATATTTTAGTAGTATTTGTTTTATACTATCTCTGTACTCTCTTTTATTTTATTTATTTTATTTATTTTATTTTTTTATTTTTTTGTTATATTCACTTACGTTTGTGATGAGGTCTCCCACGTCAATATTTCACCAAATATTTTAAGCATATATATATATATATATATATATATATATATATATATATATATATATATATATATATATATATATATATATATAAACTATATACTTCCTCCATTACGTATTATCTACAACAAACCTTGTTGCACGTTTTCCAAGATAAAATTTGATAATGATTGTTTAACAAAGTGAAGGGTGTGTAATTAAGGATAGGAGAGAGAAGGGGGGATAATTAATCATTCAAAGGCCACCACTACCAACTGCCATCCTCTCCCAGACACCACCAATACCACCAGTACGCCACCAACACCGCCAGTACACCGCCAACACCTGTCAACCACTACTCACCCATACCGTAACCACTCTCTCACCACCATAACCACCCATCCCATGACCACTCTTTCACCACCAACACCGTACAACGACAAAAACCACCAAAACAAACCTTTCTGCCACCACAAACCCCAAAACACAGCAACCTGCAACCACCCAAGATCTACCAGAGCCACAACCACCCAAAACCAACCAGGTGCAACCACCTAACCCAAAACCCGCAACCTCATAAATACCCTCGGCCCTCCCCTCTCCCACCCATTCAACCACTAACCATTCACCGTCTCCCCACTCACCAAACACGACAACCACTCGTTCACCCTGCCCTTTGCCCAAAATCCACAACCACCCACCTCCATCCTCTCTCCTCGATGTCACCAACAACCACTCTAATTATGAAGAAAAAAAGCTTAAATTTGGAAAGTATTAACTTCTCTTTACTAATTCTTCTCTTTACTAATTTGGGGGTTTATTTGGTCAAGTTTAACCATGAAAACTCTAGTTCTAGAGTTTTCATGGTTACATTTGACCATAAAAACCTCAACTTTAAGCTTTAATGGAGGAGGAAGTGGTGGCTACCCGATCCTATGTTGGTGGTGGTAGTATGGTGGTTGTGAGAGAAGAGAGAAAATATTGATGGTGAGGGTGGCTTGAAAGAGAGGAGAAAGAATATAAGCTGGTGTTATAGTGGTGGTTGTTAGAGAAAACAGAAAAGAGAGTGGAGGTGAGGGTGAGGAGAAAGAAAATATGGTGGTGTGGGTGGTGGATCTGATTGTAAGGGAGGAGAGAGAATGTGTGTTAGTGTTATTATTGAGGGTTAATTAAGTTTAGTTAATAAGTTAATAACATATAGTTAATGTGTTAATTGGATTGAAGTAAGGGTCTTTTAGTAAACTTACTCAAATAAATTAACTATATAAGGAAACTTTTTTTTTAGTTGCACATAACTTGTAACATCCCAAAATGGCAATTGTTGCACAGAATGCGTAATGGAGGAAGTATGTTTGTTTTTAATTTTTTTTTTAATTTGAATTTTATCTTCATTAGATAATAAACTTGTATTGCCAACTTACTGTGTATTTGATATGGTATATGATAATTGATTTTCTTTACAATTATACGAATTACAAACTAAGTTAGA